TGTCAGTACTCAAACTGAATGAAATTTTAATATTTAAAAAAAATTAACACAATTCGAATTAAAAAAAAATTATAACCTAACTTTTATGGGTTGAATTCGATAAATATCTATAAATAAATAATATAAAATTTGATGGTGTATATCGAGAGAATCATAAATGAAAAATAAATAAATAAATATTTTAGATATGCATTTTAATCTAAAGAAATTGTGTTGGTGGGCCTTCATAGGCCCATTTTGAAGGGCCATCTGGGCTTAAAAATCGAGCAGATCCATGATCCGGGCCCAGTCTGTCTACCGCTTGCCCGAACATTTTATTAATAAAATTCGATAAAAAAAAAAGAAAAAGAAAAATTATAGAGGTGAAAAGAAAACGAATCCCAATACAATGCTGCGTCTAAAACGGTGCCGTATCATACTGGCTTTTTTTATTTAATTTAATTTATGAAATAAATTGGAAGCTGATGACGTCACCCACGTGACTCTGCATTTTTCTTTTTCGGGATCGTTGCCAGCCGAGCAGTGCTTGCTGGTGCACCAAATTCCTATTTTCTTTTTACGATTTTATTTTTTAAAATGCCATGCGTTATTTTTCTCAACCACACAATTTAAAATAAATAAATAAATATATATATATATATATATATATATATAGTCCTTTAATGTGTCTTTATTCTAGGAAGCCATTCCTCTCAAGCCAAGCAGAAATTCTTCTCTTAAAGTTGATAATGTCTTTGATGGGACGGGTTCAACCTAACACATTTGCACGTTATCTAATCGGGAGATAAAATTGGCGAGTACTCGAAGTATTGAATCATCAAGAATCGAACCAAAATAACAAAAAAAAAATTGGTAGAGGTTATTTCAACTCTCGAAGAATATACACCTATTTATGTTCTAGCTATTTAACTCGATCAGTTCATGAGTACTATACAGCCATCTCCTCTCACTATTTGTTTTACATCGAGCAATAATGAAGATGTAAACAAACAAATAGACTGTAACGGCCCAAATTCACCGCTAGCAGATATTGTCCTCTTTGAGGACATTTCACACTCTTATAAATGATGGTTTATTCTCCTCCCCAACCAATGTGGGACATCACAATCCACCCCCTTCGGGACCCAGCGTCCTCGCTGGCACTCTTTTTTTCCTCCAATGACGTGGGACCGCCCCCAAATCCACCCCCCCCCCTTTTTGGGGCCAACATCCTTACTGACACACCACCTCGTGTCTACCCCCTTCGGGAAACAACGAGAAGGCTGGCACATCGTTCGTTGTCTGGCTCTGATAACATTTGTAACGCCCTAGATCCACTGCTAGCAGATATTGTCCTCTTTGGGTTTTCCCTTTCAGACTTCCCCAAAATGCCTTAAAACGTGTATGCTAGGAGAATGTTTCCACACCCTTATAAACGGTGGTTTGTTCTCCTCCCCAACCAATGTGGGACATCACATAGACTTACTATTTGTTTGACGTCAAGCAATACACGAAGTCATTTTCAATATAATAGTAAAAGCAAGACGTGTAACCAGATCGACTCGTCAAGGAAACCCACCTAAAATAAAGACAAAAGGAATAGTAAAGGCTAAGGACTCACTTGCAAAGAAGGGAGACTATCTCGTGGCCATCACTCTTGTGCTTTACTTGTCATACATAACCTAACTACATGGTACGAGATAATTCAAAGTTTGATGAATCAAATTAAAAACATGTTCGTGTGGAATATGTCACCTTGTCTAAAGTAATTAAGATGCATAAAACATCGTTTTCAATAACAAAAAGAGAATATATTTTTTTAAAAATATATTAAATAAAAAGAAAGTCAAACGTTCAAAAAGGTTATATGTCCCATGAATTAACAGCTAACTCAAACATCACATTCACACCTAAATACAGTTGGTCATTTGTTAACAACTCTCATTAATTAATTTATGAATATGTTTAATATTTTCACTTTTTTTTAATTATTATTTTATAATATCATATAATTTAAAAGAAATTGCATTTATCTTTTCTTTTTAAATCTTTGTTAATGTTTTTATCCGTTTAATAATTTTAATTAAATATTTTAACATAATAAAGTATGAAAATATTGTTTTTAAAAATTTATAGGAAATTTAAAATTTAAAAATATTGTTCTTCGGTGATTATGTATTTATAATATTCATATAATAATAATAATAATTTAAGGCGCGTTTTTGGGCGGAACTGACGGCGGAATGCGGCGACGACTAGCCGTTTCCGTTGACAACATTGCAATCTCCAGTCAAGCTGATTCCAATATTCCCTTTCCACTAGACTTTTTGCCCCTATTTTTTTTTTCTTTTTTATTTTGAATAAATAACTTAATTAATCAGACAAATTTATTATTTGTATAGTGTTAAAAATGTCAAAATCAATTATGGTTTAAAAAGATTGAAACGGAGCCCACATATCTATTTTACGTCATTTAGCGAGTCACATCCCTTCATATAAATTTTTGGTCTTTTGATAAATGACATATCTTTTCATGTTAGAGTGTATCCTTGCTCGTGAAGAGCTGTGCTCGTTCATTATTCATAATTTCCAAATTTAAAAATAATTAAAACAACTCTTTTTTAAAAATGTTTCAATCTCGTTTTCGTCCATATTTATTTTTATTATTATAGTTATTTATCGTCCATGGAACGAGCATTTCCGACATAAAATTGGTGGGATCGAGTTCTCCAAATGAATTTTTTCTCCGTTATTATTACTATAAAAAAGTAATTAATTTTTTAAAAAATGTATATTATTCATTTTCAATATAAAGTATTAATTGGTGTGAATTCACTCGTGTTATTAGAAATTGGAGTTGAATCATCGTTTTGTAAATTATATTTATTGAGACTATTATAATGTGGCTGTCTCTTAATAACGTTAGTATAATCTTCATATCGTTGATAACTACTCGATATAAAATGAAAGTACATGCGTAGTTTTTCAAATAATTTTTTCAAATTTTATGTAAATATACTGTTAAACTAAAAATAAAAAGAAATAAAAAAATAGAAATATAAAATTGTTAGTTGAATTAAAAATTTAATTACCAACCAATAGAATTGTTTGTTTAATAGAAAAAATTAGTTAAATTAATAAAAATAACTTTTATTTTTAAATAAACTAAAAAAAATTAAAAAAAATGTAATTTATTTCAAAAATATTTTAAACTTTTTAAAATTTTAAAAAGTGTCATCTAAATTTTCAAAATTTTAATTAATACTCTTAAATATTTTTTTAAAAACTTCACAAATACCATTTAAATTTTTTTAGAACTTTAAAATATAACACATAAATTATCTTCGTATTTTAGTTAAACCATCCACCTTTATTTAAAAAAAAAATAATAAATATCATTCAAATAAAAATATTAAAACATATTGAAGAAAGATCCATCTCAATCGAAAAAATATAATTTAAAAAAATGAATAATTATCTAATAAAAAAAATTTAAATAATAAAATTTGAATAATAGTGGGAAAATATTGAAAATGAAGTGATAGCGATTTTGGAGTACGTGGCCATGTGCTTCGATACGCTTATTATAAATTTATAAAAAAAAATAAATCCAGCTTTTCATTTTCCTTTTTTTTGTTTAATATATATATATAATTTTCTTGGTTTTTTTTTTAATTATTTAATTTTGAAATTCAGTTGTAAATGTAATGGCTGTCAGGTTGCGTCCAATTAATAAATTAATTATGTTATTACGTAATGATTTTCCTTACACGATTCATTGTCACACCTTCTATCCTCCAACTGTCCGTATTTAATTGGTTTTTATTTCTATTTTTTTTTATCTATCAAATTACAAATTTAATCATTAAATATATATATATATATATATATATATTTTATATAGTTACTCAACTTTTAATATTAGTAAATTCATAAATTTTAAAAAATTGAAAAAATTATAAGAGAAAAAAGAGTTTGACGAGGACTAATTAAAATTTATGACACATATTTTAAAGTGTCCGTAGATTCGGCTGAGTTTAGTTGAGACGTTTTTTAAACTCAACCCAATTGTTCTGATCCTAAATTTTTTTAACTCAAACAACTTTTATTCAATATATATTTTAAAAATTTACCGTCTAAATAATTTAAAATTATTTTTGCGAGTGGTTGAATATTAAATAATAATACTAATTAAATAAAAAAAATAAATGTGTATCATATAAAAAAAAAAAAAAAAAAAATGTATATTTTAAAATTAACAATATATTCGAGTTAATTGGCTTCAACCCAATTTAGTTTTATGATAACCATAAACCAACTCAATTTATAGATTTTTCATTTATTTAAATCAACCTAATCCAATTCGAGTTGGTCGAAGTTCTCGAAGTCATAAATTTTTTTTACCGGTGATAAAGGTTAAAATCTTACTCTTATTAAAAAAGGAAAAAAAGGGTCGGAATCTAGCACGATAATGGATTCTCCATCCCCACGTAATGAATAAAATTTATTTATTCATATATTCTTATTCTTTCCTCTCATTTTGAAGTGATTTCGATATTATTGGCATGTAAAAAAAAATGCATATTATATTGTATTTTAATTTATTGAATATATATAAACTTAACGTAATAAGAAAGAACGTGTATGGTAAACTATATACTATATTTATTAATATTAATTGAGTATAGTATAGCATAAGGACAGACCAATGCAATAATTTTAGAATTTATTAAAACAAAATAAATATCAAAGAAAAAAAAAACAACAAAAATATTAATTATAGCACCGTCAATAAAAGCAGACGTCACCGAACGAGCAAACAAACTAACGACCATTTAACGCCGTCTACGTATCCTGAAGCCGCGTAAAGCGGGCCTTTGTTGGTCGTTTGTCCCTGCATTTCCATCTTTAAAAAACAATAATATTAAATTATTTATTTCTCAATTTTTGATCTAAATAAAATATATTTTTTTTAATCTTAAATTAACTTTAAAGTTAAAATTAAAAAAAAAAAAAAAAGTCCAGTAAAGTCCAGTGCTGGAGCAGAGAGGGTGAGGGGAGGAGCAGAGGGTCTGGGTCAGGGTTTGTTCATGGTGTGGAAGTCAGAAGAGGATTGACGGAGAAAAAAAGGGTTTAATTGAAGTGGTGAAAGAGTAAGAGTTTGAAGAAGGAAGGTTTGATTTCATTACCCCCTTTTCTTCTTTGTGGGGTCTCTCGTTTTTCTCTATTCATGACAGCCTCGACAACAGCCTGGAAAGTTTAATGTGGTAGCTGCACTAAAAAACTCTGCTCCAGGGACCTTTCATGCCGGGATTACTTGGATCTCTTCTTCTTCTTCTTCTTCCATCCTCCGGGTTCTTTTCTCTCTGTTTCTCATTCCCCAATCCCTCAACATTATTTGTTCTTGTTCTTGTTCTTTCTTAGCTAAGATTCTTTAATGTTTCTTATTCACATTCTTGTTCTTATCTGCGGATTTGTGAGATGGGTATTGTGAGATAGATCCAAAGGGAGGTGGGTTTTCTGTTGTTTTGTTGATTCTATATTGGGTTTCTTTGGATTTGTGTTCTGTGATTTGTAATTGAGTCTATTGGGGTTTTGGGGTTATGGGGTTTGTTCATCAAGTTAGGGAAGATTAAGAGCTTATTGTTTATTTGATTTTAGGATCTGTGATTGTTGAAAATGGTGAAAATTAAGCTTGTTTCCTTGTCAATGGTGCTGTCTATCGCTTTGTTCTTGTGTATAGGATCTTATGCCTCCTTTACTCCCGTTGATAACTATTTGATAGCGTGTGGTTCTTCACAAAACATCACTTTCCAAGGTAGAACTTTCGTTCCTGATACTCAGCATTCATTGCTCTCCCTTGATGGTGGAAGCTCTGTTGTCGTTAGTTCAAAAGCTACTACTGTTCTATCTCCAATTTATCAATCTGCTCGGGTTTTCACCAGCATTGCGTCGTATAAATTTGAAATCAAGGAAGAGGGTCGGCATTGGGTTCGGTTATATTTTTATCCTATACCGAAGTCGGAGCGGAATTTGGCGTCTTCGTCGATAACTGTTGTTACTGATAAGTTTGTGTTGTTGAACAAGTTTTCTTTCAAGAACTATAATGGTTCTTTTATGTTCAAGGAGTATGCTATCAATATCACTTCGGATTCCTTGACACTTACTTTTATCCCGTTTAATGGTTCGGTTTCGTTTGTTAATGCGATTGAAGTTGTCTCGGTGCCTGATGAGCTGCTCCCTGACCAAGCATTGGCTTTGAATCCATCTTCTCCTTTCAGTGGCATCTCGAAACTTGCTCTTGAAACTGTTTATCGACTGAACGTTGGGGGTCCTTTACTCACTTCGCAAAATGATACACTTGGAAGAACTTGGGAGAATGATATGAATTACCTCCATGTCAACAGTTCTGCTGTGAATATCTCTGCTAACCCGGGGAGCATAAAATATCATCCTGGTGTTACACCGGAGACTGCACCGAATTGGGTTTATGCTACTGCCGACGCCATGGGTGACCCGAATGTACCGAACGTGAACTTCAACTTGACTTGGGTTTTTTCTGTTGAGCCAAATTTTCAGTACTTCGTCCGAGTGCATTTTTGTGATATAATGAGCAAGGCTCTCAATAATCTGGTATTCAATCTTTACATCAATTCTGATAATGCTCTGGGAAGCTTTGATCTGTCGACGATAACCGGTGACTTGGGTGTGCCTTATTACAAAGACTTCATTGCCAACTCAGCAGGTTCAGCTACTTTGACCGTTAGTGTCGGTCCAGATCAAATGGCAGACCTCACGAATGCAACCATGAATGGCTTGGAGATTATGAAGTTAAGCAATCAAGATGGGAGCTTGGATGGAACTTCGTCGGTCGAAAGTCTTTTCCCAAATGCACCCTCGAAGAAGAACAATATAGCAATCATTGTTGGTCCTGTCTTGGGAGCTGTAGTGGGCCTAACTTTGCTCGTCTTGTGTTATTGCTGCTTCGTAGCTCGCAGATCAAAGACGACTCAACCAGCACACCCATGGCTGCCTTTGCCTTTGTATGGAAACTCTCAAACCATGACAAAAGGATCAACAACTTCTCAAAAGAGTGGAACTGCAAGCTTCATTTCTTTGGCTTCCTCCAGCCTTGGCAGATTGTTCACATTTCAGGAAATTCTTGATGCTACCAACAAGTTTGATGAAAACCTTCTCCTTGGAGTTGGTGGTTTTGGTCGGGTTTACAAGGGAACACTCGAAGATGGTCTGAAAGTTGCTGTCAAAAGAGGTAACCCCAGATCGGAACAAGGTCTTGCCGAGTTTCGAACTGAAATAGAAATGTTATCAAAGCTCCGACATCGTCACTTGGTGTCTCTTATTGGCTATTGTGACGAAAGATCAGAAATGATTCTTGTCTATGAATATATGGCGAATGGACCTTTACGGAGTCATTTGTACGGAACGAATCTACCGCCATTGTCATGGAAGCAACGACTTGATATTTGCATTGGTGCTGCGAGAGGGCTTCATTATCTTCACACTGGTGCAGCTCAAAGCATAATACACCGGGATGTTAAAACGACAAACATTCTCTTGGACGAGAATTTCGTTGCGAAAGTTGCAGACTTTGGTCTCTCAAAAACTGGGCCATCTCTGGATCAGACTCATGTTAGTACTGCTGTCAAGGGTAGTTTTGGTTACCTCGATCCTGAATACTTCAGGCGACAACAGCTCACCGAGAAGTCAGACGTATATTCATTTGGGGTCGTGCTAATGGAAGTTCTCTGCACGAGACCAGCGCTTAACCCTGTTCTACCCCGAGAACAAGTCAATATAGCCGAATGGGCAATGACCTGGCAGAAGAAGGGCATGCTAGATCATATCATGGACCCCAATCTGGTTGGTAAAGTTAACCCAGCATCGCTTAAGAAGTTCGGTGAAACAGCTGAGAAGTGCCTGGCTGAGTATGGGGTTGACAGACCTTCTATGGGAGACGTCCTATGGAATCTGGAATACGCTCTTCAGCTCGAGGAAACCTCATCCGCTCTAATGGAACCTGAAGACAACAGCACAAACCACATCCCTACTATCCAATTAACCCCTCTCGAGCCATTTGATAACAGTGTAAGCATGATCGATGTAGGGAACTCCGGTACTGACGATGATGCTGAAGATGCTGCAACAAGTGCAGTATTTTCCCAGCTCGTAAATCCTCGCGGAAGATGAGAAAAAGAAACATTCTCCAGCTAGTGAAGTTTATCCTGGATGACCAGCAAAGGCACGGGGCGTCCTTGCAACGAGCGAGTCTAATATATTTACGGTGGACAAATGAAGAGACATAGTGTTCTATGATTTCATTCTCTTAGATTAAATTCCATTCTCTCAATTCATTCGGATTGCTATATGGTTCTGCGGCGTCCGCGGATCGTTTCAAGATTAATTGGTACAGTAAACAGTCTACTCTTTACTTTTACATTCAGGCTGCTAGATATTGGCTGCCCCAAGTTGTTTTTACACATTTACTCAGGCAATTGATTGTGTTAGCGTTATAATGTTTTGTTTCTGATAAAGGGTATAGTGAATAAAGCACAAGTTTTTGTTCTATTCTGCTTCTTCCTTCTCTAGATATATCCTTCAAGGACAATACCATGTCTTCTTCAAGGAAAAATGAAGTTACGGTTAAATCGACTTGAAACGGGCAAATAATTCTCTTGTTACATGAGAAACTAGACGTTTTATTTCTTTGTTTCTTAGTAAGACACGAAGGAGTATATAGTTCAAACGACCCAAAAATACAGCTTGAAGGCATGGTGAAGAGGAAATCGTTGTTAGGTTATGGAGCTTAGTCACTCTTGTACATAGTGAAGCTATATATAGTAGATAGTTATATATGGTAAAGCTATATATAGTAAACTGAACCATATATGTACGCTTCAGATAGTGCTTTGAAGATGTAAATTTTTGCCTACTTTGTATTCTTTCATTGAAGTCATCAATATAAACTTTTAGTCAATATATCCTCCTTGAATTTTCTCTCCCTTGTTCTCTCTCCTGTTCACTCTCCTGTTTTTTGTGTTCATCTAGATCGAGTGTGTGCTTGTGTGACTCCCCTGTTCTCTCTCCTGTTCTTGTATTCATCTAGATCGAGTGTGCGCGTTGTTGTGTGACTCTCGTGTTCTCTCTACTGTTCTTTGTGTTCATTTAGATCGATTGTGTGCGTTGTTGTGTGACTCCCCTGTTCTCTCTCCTGTTCTTTGTGTTCATCTAGATCGAGTGTGTGCATTGTTGTGTGACTTCCTTGTTCACTCTACTATTCTTTGTGTTCATCTAGATCGAGTGTATGCGTTGTTGTGTGATCCCCCTGTTCCCTCTACTGTTCTTTGTGTTCATCTACATCGAGTGTGTGCATTGTTGTGTGATCCTAACAATCCCCTCCAAAAGAGCCTATTGGAGAGCGTTCTTTGTATTCATGTAGATCAAGTATGTGTGTTGTTATAAACTTTTAGCTAATATATCCTCATTGAATTTTCTCTCTACTGTTCTTTGTATTCATCTAGATCGAGCGTGTGCATTGTTGTGGGATCCTAACAACCTCCTTCAAAAGAGCCTATTGGAGAGCGTTCTTTGTATTCATCTAAATCGAGTTTGTGCGTTGTTATAAACTTTTAGCTAATATATCCTCTTTGAATTTTCTCTCTACTGTTCTTTGTGTTCATCTAGATTGAACGTGTGCTTTGTTGTGTGATTCTAACAACAACCCCCTCCAAAAGAGCCTATTGGAGAGCGTTCTTTGTATTCATCTAGATCGAGTGTGTGCGTTGTTGTGTGATCCTAACAACTCCTTCCAAAAGAGCCTATTAGAGAACTTTCTCATTCAAAAGGCGTTCTCATAATCAAGTTCAAGAGAATACTTCCGGTTTTATTTCTTTGGAACTGAAATGGGAACAATTTGAATTAGAAACTTGTACAGAACACTTTCTTGACAAAGATGAAGAGAAAGATACTACAGGAGTCACCCAAAAGTAGAGACACATTCACACGGCAGAAGATAACTAGCCAATATGAAGCAAAAGCTTTGTTATTCAATGTCGAGTACGGCTTGGTTCGGGTTATGATGACTTATTTTCTGCAAACTATGCCATTTCCGCTCGTGCTTCCTCCAGAGCAGTCTATGAAGCTGTATTGCTTTATCTTCAGGTCCTCTTTGTTAGACGGTTCGTTAGGGGAAAATGAACAGGCATTGCAATCAGCTGAGAGAAGCGACGAGGTCTTGTACTCCTTGTCACCTCCTACGACAGGCATTGCGACTCCGGGCTTAGCTGGGTTCTTGAAGTCAGGCTGGTAAGTCCTTCCAAGTACTCCTTCAACCTTCGAGGATAGGCCGTGGAATCTGAACTGAACTTCTAAGTGAGCGAAACAGTCGTCTTTTGGTATCTGATATTTATGAATTCTGTCGTCCTCTTTAGTAATGGGTACAACGTTAACTGATATCTCTGCAATCTCAGGGAGAGTAACCAAGACACTGTTGCTGGTTGATGTTCTTTGAACTATAAGATCGCTTTGTGAGGACTTCCATTCGGAGAGACGACCCGCTGGGATGACTACTTCTTCTCCATCGTAAGTGAATTTCAAGTGATCGACTTTGTCGTCCCAAGTTGCTGCTCGTTCGGCCTCAAGTGAGAACGAGTGAGAGTTGAAGAGGATACCAAGAGCTTGAATCCACGTGAAGTCTCGGGATCTGCCTGCTGGCCTTAATCCGATAAACCGTGCATTGATTTGCAGATCACGATCCGATACCAAACTGAAGTGTTCGTTGCTTTTTCCATGGAAGTAGAACACAATACCATCAGCACCAATGAATCTGGGGTCCAAGCACGCCGAGCCAGGACCGTTACAGTTTGGTTTCGAACCTGTCATTATGGCACAAAAACAAGTTACTCGTTAAGAAACTTCATATTTATCTCGATATTCAACGTTGATATCAGTGTTATCAAGCCTTACTTTTGCACTCCGCTTTGCATACAGGCGATTCACAGTTAACGTAACAAACTTTGTCGGTGTTGTTCGATGGCGATTTTAATGGACACTCTGCTGGACAAGGCATTTGTTTGAAACGACACGGGCTTTCGCTCCTGTAACAAGTAAGCTTATCGGTGCCATGGATCTGCAACAAACCAGACACGAACACGAGAAACATGATGGAGATTTCATTTCTGCTAAAGCTCCCCATGATCTTGTGAGCTTCTTCAATGGCAACCAAGGACTTGCTCCTTTCTTTTATAGAAGCCATTGAATGAGAAAGTGGTATTTATCTATACAAATAAGTACTTTTGAAGCTAACGAGTAGTTCCATTTTTACTCAGCTTCTGGTTTAAGTCTTCTTGAGTTTCATTAGATTTTGATATTTTTGCTCTAAAATTGGTCAACGCTTTGAAAGTTGTAATTTTAGGTTAAAAAGAGGCTCGGAAATGGTTTAGATGAACATGACGTGAGATGTAACCGCCTACGTTCACCGTTAGTTAGATATTGTCCTCTTTTGGCTTTTCCTTTCGGGTTTCCCTTGAAAGTTTTTAAAACGCGTCTGATAGAGAGAAGTTTTTACATCTTTATAAAGAATATTCGTTCTCCTCCCCAACCGTTGTGGGATCTCACAATCCACCCCGTTTGGGGCCTAGCGTCCTTGTTGGCATACTGCCTCGTATCTACCTCCTTTCGAAACTCAGCCTTCTCATTGATGCATTGCCCGGTGTCTGGCTCTGATACCATTTGTAATAGCTCAAGCCCACTGCTAATAGATATTGTCCTCTTTGAGCTTTCTTTTTTTGGTTTTCCGTCAAGGTTTTTAAAAAGCGTATGCTAGGGAGAGACTTCCATACCCTTATAATAATGCTTCCGGGGATGGATTTTGAAACCCCACATTGGTTGGGGAGGAGAACGAAACATTTATAAGGGTATGGATGCCTCTTCCTACCAGACGCGTTTTAACAATCTTGAGGGGAAGCTCGAAAGGAAAAATCCAAAGAGGACAATATTTGTTAGCGGTGAGCTTTGGTTGTTACATGAGATAAAAAAGAAAATTCAACTCGACTTGAGCATATTTACGAGTCGAAATCTTTACCCCAAATGATTTTGAATCCGTCTTTCAAATTGAATACAATATTTACGAGTACAGTTCTCTAAAAATTTCTAACGGGATTGATAGACTCAAGTTGTAGTTTAACTCGTTTTTTTTAGTCTACGAAACTTAGAACTGAATCAAATCATCTTGAAGTTTTGAAGGGTTGGACTTTTGATAGTAATGAGAAAATTGAGTAGACAACACTTCAACAACAAAGCTAAATGCCGACCAACTCCACATGGTTCATTCCTTGGACATTAAAATCGCCATGGATTTCTGGCTGACTGAGCTTTTGTCTTGCTTCTAATGTTCTTCTTGCATACTCACTCTCCTCGTATTCCACTCTGTAATCATGTTCTATTTCACATGTTCTTCAAATTATGTCTTTGGTCCGTGTCGAGATTGAACCATACAACAATGGTTCGAGACCTGTATATAAGTTAGAGAATCCATTGTTGAAATTGAACCATACAACAATGGTTCAAGACCCGTAAATGAGTTAGTGACCCATTACTAAGATTGAACCATACAACAATGGTTCGAGACCCGTAAATGAGTTAGGAACCCATTGCTAAGATTGAACCATACAGCAATGGTTCGAGACCTGTAAATGAGTTAAGGACCCATTGCTGAGATTGAACCATACAACAATGGTTAGAGACCTGTAAATGAGTTAGGGACCCATTGCTGAGATTGAACCATACAACAATAGTTCAAGACCCGTAAACGAGTTAGGGACTTATTGCTAAGATTGAACCATACAATAATAGTTCAAGACCTGTAAATGAGTTAGAGAGCAACGAATCAGGCTTTTTAGAGTGGTGGAAAAATGAAATGAATGTCACAGAACTCCATGTTTCTTTTTCGTTTATTTTGTTTGAGTTGCAAATCGAAGTCAGAAAAGTCCACGTTATACTCTATCATCTCATTGGCTTCCTCGGGTCGACTTAGTTTCCCCTATTTACCGATAAAGCCTAAAAAAGAAGATCATTAAAGGCAAACTCTTCTTCTTCAATGTCGTTAAGAATTGGCTCTCAACTTAGTTTTGAAATGGTCATCTCAATGGACAGTATTGCTCGAACCAGCAAAATCATAATGATACAGATCTACCTACCAAATAAAAAGCTTGTTTGGTAAGACCATCTAATTTTTAAAAAATAATTAATTTAAACCCTCTCATTGTTAGGCTAAACCAAGTATTTCGGCCGGAAATCCGTAAATACTTTTGCTACGAAAAAAAATGTTTGATAAAAAACGCTCAATTTCTCGTGAAACGATATTTTTTTTTTAATAAAGTATAAAAGTAAAATTACGTGAATAATGTCATATATCATTATGGAGATATAAAGTGATTTGTCGTCGTTACTTATTAGATTCACGACCTCTTAATTCGGCAGAAGGAATCCAACAAAAACGACAAAAAAAAGAAAACCGTAGAGCTCTATTAGGCAACTGTGTTACGTGATACGTGGTTATGCTTGACCGACAAAAAAAAACTGTGTTAGATTCTAAACTAATCCTTTTATCAGTTAAGGCTGAACGAACACCGTTCATATACTCATTTTTTTTTGAAGTCGTAAGTTCAAATTTTTAATTTTTAATTTTATATATGTTTAATATTAATATGGATTTTTTAAATTTAATCCAAACATTTATTAAAATTAAAGAGACTAAAAAAATTTCATGCCTAAGATAGTTGAAGTGGTTATATGTAATTATCATTTAATTAAGAAATAAATAAAACCTAATTTAGAAGAACAAAAAAGATATAAATAAATAAATAAATGGTCAAATTACAAAATGCGAATATTGGAACCGTCTGCTACAGTGATTTCTGTTTCTCAATTTTGCTGCAATCAAAATAATTCGTTTCTCGTAAAAACCCTAATTTCTCCTTTCTTCTCCGTTAATTCTTGACCTTAAACCCATGCAGCTGACTTGCCCAACTTGTATTCGTCGATTTCATTTCAGAATTGGCCTTGAGATTGCCGAATTTCCACTATCCCGTTTACTCAACTATATCAAGATACGTTTTCTCGCTTCTATTATTTTCTAATTTCATCGTTTACTTCAGGGGCTAGGAATTTCGTTCATCTATCTTGAAGGTTCTAGTTGGTTACGGGCAGTATTTTGAGAAAAATTCTACCGGCGGAAGTGAATTTTGTGTTTAATTTTGTTGTTGTGTTGAATGTTGAAATACTCGAGCGGAGGCGGTAGTTTTATTTTTGAGATTCTGAGGCCTCTCATGAACTTTCTGGGTGTTTATATACTGATTGGTTAAAATTTGGCCAAGTATGTGAGTAGTGAGCGAGATGGGTTTTCATTTCTATATGGGATTGTGAAGGTTAAATGTTTAAGCAGACTGGTTTGTTTTAGGAACGTGTTGTAGAAAATGATGGATAGGGAGTCTGGTTTAGTTTTGAAGCGTTCCTCGCGAAAGAAAGCTACTGCGCGAAATTATGATGAAGATTTAATGGATGAGGTTATAGAGAAGCATTTAGGCGGTGTTTCTAAGAAGAAGAGCAAAACGGCTAAGGATCTAGAGAAAGAGACTGAAATTGAGGCTATGATAGCACTGTCTGTTGGATTTCCCATTGATGCTTTGCTTGAGGAGGAAATTAAAGCTAGGGTGGTGAAGAATTTGGGTGGGAGGGAGCAGAATGATTACATTGTTGTTAGAAATCATATCCTTGCGAGGTGGCGTGGTAATGTGCGAATGTGGCTTTCCAAAGGACAGATTAAAGAAACCGTGAGCCATGAGTATGAACATTTGATTAGTGCAGCATATGATTTTCTTTTGTATAATGGATATATAAACTTTGGGGTGTCGCCAACTTTTACGACTCAAGTGTCCGAGGAAGGATCTGAAGGATCTGTGATTATTATTGGTGCAGGGCTTGCCGGGTTAGCTGCAGCTCGGCAGCTCTTATCATTTGGTTTTAAGGTTATTGTTTTAGAAGGTAGGAATCGACCTGGTGGAAGAGTTTTTACTCAAAAGATGGGGCAGGAGGGCAAATTTGCTGCCGTTGATCTTGGTGGCAGTGTCATTACTGGTATCCATGCTAATCCTCTTGGAGTTCTAGCTAGACAACTTTCCATTCCGCTTCATAAGGTTAGAGATAATTGTCCATTGTATAAACCTGATGGGACACTGATTGGGAAAGATATTGATGCTAAGGTTGAGTTTATTTTTAATAAATTACTAGACAAAGTGACTGAACTGAGAAAGATTATGGGAGGATTGGCTAATAACATTTCTCTTGGAACGGTTCTTGAAAAGCTTAGGCAATTGTATGCTGTGGCTAGGAGTGAGGACGAACGACTACTTCTTGATTGGCATGTAGCGAACTTGGAATATGCAAATGCAGGATGTGTTTCGAATTTGTCTGCAGCGCATTGGGATCAAGATGATCCGTATGAGATGGGTGGAGACCATTGCTTCCTAGCTGGAGGTAATTGGAGATTGATAAAAGCATTATGTGAAGGAGTTCCCATATTTTATGGGCAGATTGTTGATGCTATTAGATATGGAAGTGAAGGAGTAGAGGTAATAGCTGGAGGTCAAGTGTTTCAAGCTGATATGGTTCTGTGTACAGTTCCACTTGGGGTTCTGAAGCGAAAGCATATTAGATTTGAACCAGAGTTGCCTAAAAGGAAGCTGGCAGCAATTGATCGACTGGGTTTTGGATTATTGAATAAAGTTGCTATGGTGTTTCCTCATGTTTTCTGGGGGGAAGACTTAGATACATTTGGATGTCTTAGAGAGCATTGCCATCAGCGGGGGGAGTTCTTTTTGTTTTATGGGTACCATACTGTTTCTGGAGGTGCTGTTCTTATAGCTCTAGTTGCTGGAGAAGCTGCTGAAGCGTTTGAACGCACAGATCCAACTACATTGCTTCACCGGGTTCTCGGAGTTCTTAGAGGTACGATCTCACTCTGGTTTTGGTCCTGAATTAGCGTATGTATGTTTAGTAGACTTCTCGTTTAACTTTGATATCTCTACGTACAGGTATATTCAGCCCCAAGGGGATTGATGTGCCTAATCCAATACAGTCGATATGCACAAGATGGGGCAGTGATCCATTTTCTTATGGCTCGTACTCTCATGTTCGAGTTGGGTCGACCGGCAACGATTACGATATTCTTGCAGAGAGTGTGTGGAACAGGTTGTTCTTCGCCGGTGAGGCCACGACTAAACAATATCCAGCCACGATGCATGGTGCCTTCTTGAGTGGTCTAAGAGAAGCTTCAAGTATTTTCCAAGCAACCAGGGGACGATCAAACAATTCAAAGAAGTACATGCCGAGGAATCTTAGACTTGATATTCTGGCGGATCTTTTCAGGCAACCTGACATGGAATTTGGAAATCTGTCCTTTGTTTTCGATTCGTTGGTAGATGATGAAAAATCAATGGGGGTCATGAGAATCACATTCAGGGGCAAGGGAGAATGTTCTTATGAGGAAGAATTGGCTGACGATTGTGAAGATCCCTCACTCCAACCGCTGTTGCTTTATACAATTGTGTCCGGCAAACAGGCACATGAGCTGCTACTCACGATTGGAGAGGATGAAAGTAGACTGCCATATCTAGTGAAAGATTTTGGCTTGAAGCTGATGGGACCTAGTGCCTTGTTTAGTATTGGTCACTCGTTGATTGCTAGCGTGGCTGGTGCTCGAAGAGGCCGGGGCAGGAATCGGTTGGTTGCTGGACAACCGCAACTGCAACCCCAACCCCAACCACTACTACAGCCCCAACCCCAAACACAGCTGCAACCCCAACCCCAACTGCAAATGCAACTGCAGCCCCAGCTTCAGCCCCAACTGCAACTGCTACTTCAACCCCAGCCCCAGCTGCAACAGCCACCGCAGCCCCTGCCCCAGCTGCAGCTGCAACAGCCACTGCAGCCCCCGCCCCAGCCCCAGCTGCAACAGCCACCGCATCCCCCGCCCCAGCTGCAGCTGCAACAGCAACACCAGCCCTTGGCCCAACTGTGGCTGCAACAGCAACTGCAGCCCCCGCCCCAACTGCAGCTGCAACAGCAACCCCAGTCCCCGCCCCAACTGCAGGTGCAACCGCAACTGCGGCTCCTGCCCCAACTGCAACTGCAACTGCAACAACAAACCCATCTTCAGCCTCCGCCTCCACCTCCACCTCAGCCCCAACTCAACTGCGACTGCAACCCCAGCCCCAACCACATCTACAACCACAACCAAACCTAATAGATAATCTTCTGCTGCTGTGGATTTAAGAACCAACCCTCTTTAGGAAATGGAAGTACATGGAACATCATGTGGGTGCCACAAATGTTTATGCCGGTCAAATCCCAGATGACACATTGAATTATACAGCCCGAAGAGATGATGACTTCATTATTTCAGGATTTGGAAAAGTTTCATTTTTTTAACACTGCAAGGAGTTAGTAGCCGAATCTGAAACAAACTGACTTGGTGGGTAGTAAAGTGTAATTAACAACATCATCAGCTGATCATGTGAAAACCTTTTGAGTAGATCAATCACTGTAAGAAATCAATCAATTTGGTGTCAAGTAGGAAACAGGAGTTGCAATTCTTCCATGGATTCTTTTTGTAGTTCAATACAACTCTATGTTAACTCATGGACTCCAACCAAAAAAACAACTGTACTCTTAGGCATCTATACTTTTACTACACATTTTGTATCTGTAATATACACCATTTTTTTCCTGAACCTAGAAAATCTTTTCTTGGGTTGGTTCGGGATCCCAATTATTACGCTATAATAGTGAAGGTAACGTTTGGATTTGATTTAAGTTACTTAGGACTAGAGACGTTTGGTCGCTTAAAACTAGCTAGGAAGGAGTCGAGCCTCTACTAAATTGTTGGGACGAGTCATGAACAGTTTTAGTTTTTGTCATTCGGTCTCCTTTCATTTTTAAGTTATTTGAAAGTACAAGAACGAAAATATAGAACGATAGAACAGTTGGAATTTATAGAAACTGCATCAATTCACTTTACAATCCAATCAGAGAATCATAAAGTTTGATATACAGTGCAAGCTCAAGGTGCTGTATTCTGCACAAAATCAATGCAGGCACGGCAATGACAGTCCAAGAAGCGGCACCGAAGACATCCGAAACACACACAGGACATGCAGCCTCGACACTTGGATGATCGTTGACAGCCCCGACAACTCTTTCGACTCTCCCGCTCCTCGTCGTCATCACATGTTATTCTGAAACACAGCCATTAAGAAATGCAGCAGATTGACAATAAGGCTTGTGAGGCAAGGCAACTTACAAGTCATATGGACGATCAGCACATTTCCATCTCTGATCAGCCATGGCATCATGGTAGATCCGGCATTGGTCTCTGGTTCGGAGACGAAACCGCCGCTCCTTACAGCAGTCGGAGCAGCGGATAAACTCGTCACGGTGGAAGTTACGTCGCCGGAGAGCACGAGAAGTCCAATTAGCCTCATTTTCAGAATGCTTATAGTATTTAAGCAAACAAGTTCTCCACAATGGAACCTTAACCCCTTCTACTGATACCCAAATGCTGCTCTTCCATTTCTTAATCCCTTCTCTCTGTGAATGCTTCTCAAACTCCTCTGGTGTCAGCTCCCCTAATAAGAACACAGCATTTAAATAACTAAATGTTCGACAAAATTTAAAAGTATAGGGACTAAATGTTAGACGATACCCGCATTGCAGGCGTCGGAGCAGAAACGGAAGATGAGGAACTGGCCGGCGGCGGACACTCTGAGCTTACCAGGGGAATCGCCGTATTTCTTGCTGGTGCAGCCGCAATGGACCTCTATGAAATCCGATCCTTGAACGAACCCTCCCATTTTCTTCACTTCTTCTTCTTCAAGCAATCCCCATTTACCTTTTTCTCTCATTTCAACCCTAATTCTTCTTCTTCTTCTTCTTCCTCTTCTTTGCTCTGGTTTGATGTTGCTGTTTCTTTAATGGTGGATGAAGAACTTAAATGCTGTTCTTTTTGGGTTTTGCAAATCGTTTTCCCCTAAGAAAAACGATTGGTTTTCCCATAACAAACAACCCTTTCAAGGATCATATGATTTGATTTATATATATATATATATATATATATATGAGATTTTGTTCTGAAAATTATGTGTATGGAGAAACAAAGATCTTACCGATTTACGTGTTTAATAATATAAGAATCGAGGGATGAAATCACGTTCATATGTTCGTTTAATCTACGGGTCAAGTCTTGAGTGGAAAAATCTCGTTCAAATGGAGAGAGATTTATACTATATTATATTATTAAAATTGAAATTTTTAAAAAATAATGTTCAACCTTATATTATATTTTTTTCTTATGGAATATTTTTGAATTTATAAAGATATTTTATATTTTCTAATAGAAAAAAAAAATCCTCGTAAGAACCTGATCCCAACAGATGCTCAACGGAGAATTCACCTGATTTTCACAAAATTAAATAAAGAATTTCGTGGAAATATGACACAAATAGGAGGTAGGGATAGGAATAGAAGAGGTTTCTTGGTCTCTGCCTCGTATATATCTCTATTCACAATTAAGTTTAAATCTTATTTTACTCGTCAGTACGACAATTGTAAAAATCGAGATTTGATTTGAACGTTTAACTTTAACTAACAGAATAAGCAGAGGTAAATGTTGATTTAAAAATTTTGCACGGTTATATAAATATATACATGGTTTAAGAAAAAGGATTCCAAAAAAATAATTTCACAAATCATTTAACGAACAGAAATTTCAAAAAATAAATAATATAAATGATTCTCTACATACTGTTGAGCTTATTAACCAGTCGTCACTAAAAACTCGAACTAAGGTTATAGTATTTCAGATCGAAGTAATCAAGATCAACAAAATAATTATAAGGCAATTTATGAAATACAAATCAGCAAATTAATTTTTTTTATCAATATTTTCCCATATATATATTCAAATACGTAAAGTCGTTATGAATTATAGTATGGACAAGTTAATAGAATAATCGTAATTTTATATTTATGGCTGTTTGGGTTACCTAATAGTTTTTTTTTTAATTGAAAAAAATAATTTAATAGTAAAAATATTATCATTTTTTTTTCAAAAGTATTTTAAATAACAAATTTATTTAGTTACACTTCTATTAATTATAATTTCATTATTTTTTATTATAATCCCAAGTATTAAATTTGTATTAATTATCAATGCTGATTTAACCACATTAATAATGATAAAATATTTGATAATTTCTTTATTTTTCTTCCGTTAAAATATAATTCTATTCTATAAAATTTTGTAAAATGATAATAATAATTTTTATTTGTAAATATATCTTTTAGAGTCGAGCGTTATAATATTTGTTAGGCTAAATTAATAATGCATTTTATTTGAAAAATATTTCTAAACTTTTAAAAGTTTTAATAATAACTTTGTACTCATGAAAAGGTCTAAAAATACCTTCAAACTTTTCAACTTTTAATTTTGGATGGAAACGATTAATATTTTATTTAAAAAATACTTTTAAACTTTAAAAAATATACTCTTTAAAAATTAAAAAAAAATCCCTTTTTAAGTATTAAAATTTTTCATTAATACAACTTAAAAAAAACTTTTATCCACTTTAAAAAATACTCATGAATTTTTTTTAACATGAGTTAAAAATATAATATTATTTTAAAATAATGTTGTATTTTGATAAGGAAAAGATTAAATATTTATTTTATTTAAAAAAATTAATACATACAAACTCAATTTTGTATATAAATTATTTATTTGTATAATTCAAATACTATTATATAATTTTATTTTTCTTGCTAAATAAAAAGTATATAATATAATCATATTTAGGGAGAATATTTGAGGTAAGATCTATGGCTATGCCACGTAGACGTCACGTTGTATCCCACTTTGTCACCTAGTGGAACGTACGTCATCACTCTTATTCTTTTTTCTTGGTGGAATTAGTTTTTTAAAATAGGTTTAAAAACTATATTGTTTAAATAGCGGTGAAAATAGTTCAAATATATATTATATGTAATTTTAGATTTTGAATTTTAAATTTAACTTCTATTTTATTTCTATTTTATTTTTTAATATATATATATATATATATATATAACTCATTTAAAAAAAAAATATCGACTCGATTAATAAAAATACTCATAAACTTTATACTTTATCTAAAAAATATAAATAAACTTTCGATAAAAATAATAATAATAATAAATAAATAAATAATATCTTTTTATTAATTTTTTTTATAAAAATCTTTATTATTTTATTTTAAAAATAGTCTGACTTTTCATTAATATCTTTCAAGTTTTTTAAAAAAATTCTAAGATACCTATATATTTAAAAAAATTCAGGTCAAATATTAAAAGTAGCATTAATATTTTTTACTTTTATAAATAAAAGTTCAAAAAATGTTTTATTTGGACGATAACATTCTGGACGAAAACCGTCTGTGGACATCTCATAGATTATTTTCAAACTTTTTAATATTCATGAGTATTTTTTTTAATACGTGACATTAATGATATTTAAAAATAAAAATCAGAGATATTTTTGAAGTTTTTAAAAATACTTAAGGATATTAATGAAATGGAAACTTTTAAATGATTTTTAAAATTTAAATGTATTTTTTTCGATGAACTAATTTAGTATATAATAAATATATAATTAACTATCACGTTAACTTTGGTTGGGTTAAATAAAGTTAATGTTATTTATTGTCCAGTTAGAATCCAATTTCAAATTTTAAATATTAATTAAGAATCAAATTTAATTTCAAGATTTAAGATGCTACCTTTAAAATCTTAAGAACTTGAAATTAAATTCAAATTTTAAAAATAAAAATTATTAATTTTAAAAATTTAGGAATTAAATAGAAAAAAATAAGGACAATACATTTAAAATATAATAATAAAATTGAAAATTGAAATATAAAATTTTGTATAAATCCTAAATATGAATATAGATTGATTATTCAAAATCCAGTATGAATAATCATTACCTAAATGCTTCAACTAAAAGAATCTTGAGATTAAAGCAAACTCAAAATAATTATTTCATATATTGATTAATTTTTTTTTTAATTGAATCCATTTAAAAAAAATGATAATTAATATTTTATCTATCAAATTATCTTCGAATGGATTATGTCCGAGATTCAAATAAGTTTAGCATTGATGTCATGTGAAAGTCAAGTGAGATTTCTATTTATTTAGATTTTAGCAACAACATTTAGCGCGTTTTGCACACTGCATTAAAAAATGAGTGCAATGATGAAGAATATCAACCATGATCCCACGATCTCCTCTAGTGATAAGGTCACATCAGCCCTTATTCAAAAGAAGGATGATGTTCTTACCCTAAGATATTTGATCATTAAATTAACTTGAATATTACTTTTCCTCGCCGTGATTCTTTATTAGTAAGGTTAAGTGTTCTTATATTTCTTTTTGACTAAATTTCTTTGCAATTCTATATAGTTTATAGACGGCATGCTTAGAATCATTATTACTTGTAAAGTGATTTGAATCGCAAACAAATGTTATTGTCTTGAAAGATTTAATCAACAAGAACCCGTGTGACAAGCAGTGCATCAGCACGCAATCTTGTTCTTTTCACGGTTCTCCCATCAAACAAATTTATCATTACTATTACAAGAGGTCACATAAGATCAGCGAGATTTCTTAACCATTAAACTAATAAATTTTAGTTGAAGTATATTAATCGTATAATTGTTTAATTTAGGTCAAATTAAAGTAATGATTTAAAAATTTTAATTAAAAAAAATAAATCTCCCACATATGCATGTATCTGTTGTTTTAAATTTGTTAAAAGTCAATATATGACATAAACATTGCATGCTAATCTTAGTTTAAATGAGTAAACAATGCTTAATGAACTTAATAATTTTTTAAACCAATTTATGAAAATTCTTATTAAAAAAAAAGAAAAGATATATATATATATATATATATATATATTTAAAAATAAGTAAATAAAGAGAAATAAATTTCTAAAAAATTTGAAAAATTTGAAAAATAAATAAATAAAAAAAAAAAAGAAAAAAAAAAGGTCAAGAAGAAGCGGTTTTGGGGGTAGCCACTTTATTTTCCCTCCTCCGTCTTTCCTTTTGGGTCTCAAAATAATAATCAGAAGACGAGACGAAGGGCTAGAGAGAGAAACTAAACGCAACAAAGAAAGGGGCATTCTAGAGAGAGAACGAGAAAGAGAAAGAGAGGAGAGAGAAAACCGTGTTGAAAGACCGTTCTGACCTCCGTGTCCGGCTGCTGCTTCTTCTTCCTCCTCCTCCTCCTCCTCCTCTTCCTCCTCTCTCTTCCGCCCTCTCCCCGTTCCCACCATGAATGAGAAGGCCAACGTCACCAAGGAGCTTAACGCCCGCCACAGAAAGGTACCTTTTCCTTTTCCATCTTCTCATGTCTTCTTCGGATCATGAATCTTTTCACTATTGAATTTCAAGTTGAATTTTCACGTTTCACTGATGCTCGCTCTTCGTTTGGTTGGCTGGTTGTTAATCAGTTGAACCGAGATGTGTTCTGTTGTTTGCGTTTTTTTGTTATTACGTTTGAATTCGATGTTATTAGGGATAGATTTGGACTCTTTTGTATGTGATCGAACCAAATGGTTATGGATTTGAGTTGCGGTTCGTTTGATCTCCGTGTTTGGATCAATTGCATTTTATCCGACGTTTAGATTACCTATTCGTTGTTTTGGTTTTGTCTTCTTGCTGTCTTTTTGGTGATTTGATTGAATTTTCTCTGGTGGATTTCAGTATGTTCATTCTCGATGCATCTGATTCAGGTTATTACAACGACTGCTTATGAGTTTGAGTATCGTCATTTTGTGATTTTGATTCATCGTGTCCATATCAAATTTGCTCAAACG